TTTCATTTCATTTCATTTATTTAACCAATATAAAAACAATTTACAATGAAAATACAATATACAATATACAATATAATGGTTAGGAGTCAGGACCCCTAAGAAGCAGAAATCTGCTTGTAATCGGGGCCCTGCAAACAAACAATAACAAGATAATGCACATAAATTAATAATACAAAGTAAAGGACTTAAATAATACAAGTACGCACCCGTACATCAACACACACGCACGTTCATAAAGGTTACAGAGAAAGAATAGAAGGAAGCGAAAATAGGGCAGAAAGAGATAAAAGTAGAAAAAAGATGGGAAAGAGAAGTACTTACTCAACCATGGATTGAAAAATACTTTTTTTATACATTGATTTAAATCTGGTAATTGTAGAACTGGATCTTAGGTTATAATTCAAGGAATTCCACTCCCGTACCCCAAGAAATGATATAGAATTATACATTGAAGTTGAACGACAGAGTGGGTGATGTAAATTTAGACGTTGACGAGTGGGGTAATTGTGAACAGAAGAATTTGTTTGGAACATATTAAAAACAGATGGTAACAGGTTTTTATGAAATTTAAACATAAATATACATGTATTAAGTTTGATCAAATCATATAGAGGAATAATTTTCAGTTTAATAAATAATGGTAAACTTGGAGACATATAATGACTATTTGTTATTAACCGAGCTGCACGTTTCTGTAACATATAAATCTTGAACAGTTTTGTTTTGTAAGTATTACCCCAAATGATATTGCAATAATTTAAGTGGGGAAGAAATGTTGCATTGTAAATATTCATTAATATGTTCCTTGGGAGAAAATTCTTTAGTCTAGATAAAACACCAATACTTCTAGAAATTTTAGAACAAACATAATCAATATGACATTTCCAATCTAGAGTTTCTTCAATATTAGTACCTAAAAAAATAACACTTAGTTCTCGTTCAATATTTACATTCGCTATTTTAACAGGATTGGTGACATTTGGAACTTTCTTTTTCTTTGTGTAAAAAATTACATATTTTGTTTTTTCATAATTCAAAAATAATTTATTACATTTAAACCAATCATTCAATTTTATTAACTCTTCATTTAAAATAGAAATTAAGCATGCTACATTAGAATGAGAATAATATACAACCGTATCATCAGCAAATAATGAAAACATAAGTAATTTGGATGAACTGATTATATCGTTAATATATATGATAAATAAAAGTGGTCCGAGAACCGATCCTTGCGGAACTCCAGTATTTACATCCATATAATCAGATTCGACACCATCGACCACCACATATTGTTTTCTATTAAACAAATAATCAGAAAACCACTGATGAGGTATACCGCGTATACCGTAATGGTACAGTTTTTTAAGTAAAATATGGTGGTCGATGGTGTCAAATGCCTTAGATAGATCCATAAACAATCCATAACAAAACATTCCATTATTAATTTCATGTAGAATATTTTTAGTAAAATTCACAATACTCAGATCAGTGCTATGGTTTTTACGAAAACCAAACTGTTCTGAAATAAGAACATTATATTTAAGTAAATAATCATATAACCTTTTATGCATTACTTTTTCCAACAGTTTTGCAAAAATAGAAAGCAAGGCTATGGGTCTATAATTTTCTATATTTTTAACATCATTTTTTTTGTATAAGGGTACAATTTTGGCAACTTTTAATTTATCTGGGACGATTCCACTATTTAAAGATTTATTAAATATGTCACACAATGGATTAACAAAAAAATGAATACAATTTTATGAATTTTTAACAACTTTAGGTGAAATGCAGTCAGGTCCACTTGACTTATCTATTTTTAACAGAGAAGACAGTTTGATAATTTCATGAATACTTGTTGATTTAACATAAAATGAATTTAAATTTGGGTTAACAAGGTATTTATCATAAGAGTAATTAGGTGTTTGAATCGATTTTGATAGTTGTTTACCTATGTCAATAAAAAATGTATTACACTCTTTTGCAATATCTTTCCTACTACTCATTTTTGTATTTCCGTGATACATATTTTGAGGTAGTTTATTCTGTTTCTTTTTGCCAAGTATCATATTGATCTGCGACCATGTTTTTTTCATATCATTCTTTAAGTTATAAAACAAAGACTCGTAATATTTCCTCTTTGACGCTCTTATGATATTTGTTAATTTATTTTTATAATCTAAATATTTTCTTTTATGATTGACACTAGGTCTTTTTAAGCTACTTTCATATAATCTATGTTTACGTTTCACTGAATTCAATATTACTTGCGTAATCCAAGGTTTCTGTAAATTACCATTGAGTTGTTTGACTAATTGAATAGGAAAACAGTTATTATAATTGGAATAGAATTTTGTAAAGAAGATATCATAAGAGTCATTTGCACTTTCACAAGTATAGACCTCTGACCAGTCAATGGATGATAAACTTTCTTTAAACATTGACATTGATGAATCATTAATAATGCGTCTTTTTATGTATTTGTTACCATTCTTTATAATTCTTTCACTTGCAATTGAAAATACTGGAAAATGATCAGATAGATCACTATAAATGAGTCCTGTATATTTTTCTTCCTGTATGGTATTTGTAAATATGTTATCTATCAAGGATGCTTTATTTTCAGTAATGCGAGTTGGCTTTGTTATTAAGGGAAGTAAATTAAAAGAAAGCATCATATCTAAAAAGTCATTTGTTTTATTATGGATACCATAATTAAGCAAGTTTACGTTAAAGTCTCCTAAAATATATAAGTCTTTCTTCTCACTTTCCAGTATTTCAAGAACACTTTGTATTTTCTCATTAAAACAAGATATGTCAGAATCTGGTGGACGATAAATGCAACCAACAACTATAGGTTTAGGTTTCTTACTTATTTCAACAAATATAGTTTCATAATTGCATTCAGAATAAGTAAATTCGGGTAGTAATTTGTAATTGAGATTATTTTTCAAATAAAGTGCAACTCCACCACCAGATTTCGAGGGTCTACACTTAGAAACAAGAAAATATCCGTCTAGGTTATACATATTAATATTTGTAGAAGAATTGAACCAAGTTTCAGTTATGGCAATGACATCAAATTCAAATTGAAGAGATGACAGAACAATCTGTAATTCATCAAAATGTTTCTTTAGGCTTCTAGCATTCAAATGGAGAAGTGACAATTTAGAATTCAATTTACTAAATTTTAGACTAAATTCTTCACAAAATGTGTATTGACATGAATTTTTAAGTTCAAGATCTAAATCAAAAAGGCTATGCACATCATATTTATTCATACAAATGGGTTTAATTTCAATTGTAATAACTTGTTAATATCAATTCTCCTATTTAAATGGAAAAAGTCGTACATAGTCCAATAAAATTCATTATCATCATCTATATGGTTGAATGGAAAAATATTAGAAGTACATTGAGTGCATAACCATGACTGAGTTGGAAAGAAGGAAGAAGAGATACCACAATGAACACATACACTCATTCGCACATTCACAAATTAACTTTCAATAAGTAGTTAATAAAACATAAATACAGTAAAAATAACGAAGATAATTACAAAAAGATCTGTAATTAATCAAAGGGCATAGGCATAGAATATGAAAAATATCATATTTGCATGTAGTCAGTTTAATGTATATCAGTTTTCACAAGTTTGCCAGTTGGGTTTTCATGTCGTTGGGTTTTCATACAGACGTGCATCAATCAGGTATGATTACTGAAAAGACACTGCCTGAATTTAATTGGAATTTAATAATTATTATCCAAAGATCAGAAAAGCCGTCATTACAGTTATTTGATGTAGATTGAAACACACAAAATATTTTTTTTCTGACAAAATTTGATTAAATTTTCACTCTATAAAATTGACAAAGATTAAACAAGTTTGTTCTTGAATTTCTTAAAAACTCACTTTGAAATTCAAAGTTCACTCGCAGGACGTGTGAGAAAAATTGCGAGTGGAAAAACACAAACACAGGGAATAATTTTCCTGGTATCGCAATTTGCTATGCATTTTTGCATGACTGCTATACAAAATATTGTTTGTGTAGCAGTTTTCTTCCATAGAAATGTACAGAATTTCATTTGAAATATTTATCCATCAGCTGAAATTGCTAATCAAAATATTTGAGGAAAATTATTCCCTGAAACATGTATTATTGGTCTTGTGATCGCTTTAAAATCTGTTTAGGTTACTATAGCATAATAATTCCGTCGAAATATATATGTATTTACTAATTTGTTCGCCAAATGCTGCAAATCCTGCCTCAGTTTCGATATTTGAAGCCTCAGATTCATGCTCCGTTTCGGATCTTGATGGGACGGCAAGCGGCGGGTGCGGTGACGCGACACGTGGCGGCACGTGGCCCGTCGGGTCCACGTGCGAAGCTGAGGGCTTGCTCGCTGTAGTCACTCTCGCTCAGTGCGTATTATACACAGAGTACAGCTGTACTAATCGGATTCGCGCTCTAGCGCCATCTAGCGGTCATTCTTAATATTTACATGATCGTATTCTCCAGTAAATTCTCTTTCTTCTCGTATCAAAATTGAATTAAAAGTATGTTTTTCTGATATAGAAAAATTGTTTCAAACTTTTCACTCTGATTTTTCACGATCTTTTTGAAACATACCCCCATCAGTTTTTATATGAAAATAAAGCTTAAGATGTGCTCTTTCCAACCAGTGGATTTTTAAAACTCAAAGACGAATGGCGTTCAAGCGAATTGAGCTAAAACTAGGGATACAAATCGGCCGTCAAAAAAAAAATGGCGACAAACGAAGTGAGACCGGAGCGCCAAAACAAAGACTGTGAAAAATGGATTGTTATTATCGGCTGTAATATCAATAAGTAGAGGTATATTTATGTTTTGAAAGGCTAAGTTAGTTGGGTTGGAGGGGCCCTTAATAAACCATTTTGAATGGTATTGAGTGACATTCAGCTGCTTCAGCTTCTCGATGAGACATTAACCTTCCCTACATCATAAACACACTCTTACCTCTGTCTCTGACAGCATCACCGACTTGCCCAGGGCACTTCTAGGATTGTAGGTGGAAGATTTCTTGCTCTTAGACTGTGAGGGTGTGTTGAGCAGGCCTGCCCTCTTCTCTACCATGGACACAGGGTGGCCTCTACTTCGTAGTCTCTGAAGGACTACTGTTTGGTTACATCGGGGTCCATACAGGGAGATATCCACAGGCATACTGTATGTGTTCATATTGCCCCTAGGCACAACACTGAAAATAGAAATATTGTACTGTAAGTGAGAAAACTCATATTACACTTTTTTTAAATATCCACTGAAAACTAAGTAATGCAAAGTGTTGGTCCAAAGAAATAGATTCCCTTCCTTTCCTAAATATTTTGGAAACAAATATAAGGCTATGACTATGAGGGTCGAAAATAAGTACGAAAAAGCCGGCTCCAGAATACCTGCAGTTTGACATATCATATAAGGCTATGACTATGAGGGTCGAAAATAAGTACGAAAAAGCCGGCTCCAGAATACCTGCAGTTTGACATATCATATACACCTGTATGATTAGTATTGACTAGATAAAGGGTATAGCCATCAGTCATAAAATATCTAAGTTATGGACAACACCACCACAATTACAATGTTATATAATAAATTTCATATCCCGCATACTAAAAATCTTGCAATCTAATTGGTCTAAACGAGGTCACATGATAAAAAATAGATAAGTACTATCTACCTGCAATAAGACTTTTGTAAGGGAATTTTTTGCTGCTGCCCCACTTCCCATTGAATACGCGTAGCAAAGTAGGTTACGCGAAATATCAACGTCAATGTCAATGTCAAATGAGCGCGCATCGACTTTGTTACATTGTATATCTGTTGCGCTTTGTAAAATCTAGCTGAAGCTAAACTGTCGCAGAATCAGTTCTTTTAATAATGTAAAATTCACTTTAAATAGACCTTATTGCTGACGTGGGATATAAAACGAACATTAACCTCCTTTACTTGGGCAACGGATACAAACTATCATCGCCGAGGTGATCTCGGGGGGCTACTAACCCTATGGTAGCCCCGAGATGGTAGCTTAATATCAAATACTGGCATTTGCCACTCTCCGCCCGCTGTAAATGGGTACCTGATATGCTTGAGCGCTCGGCTATAACCAGGGTAGTATGTCTAAAGGGCCACGAGGGCCATAATCATTATTATTATTACTAAATAGAAGCACAGAATTCCTATTTCCTTATCATTTACTGTCCATAAATCTCACCCTTCAATCCTAGCATAGTTGTTGTCCACGATGTATGATAACACTTCAGCTAACCCTCTCTTGATGTGTCCTACTTGACGACCCGACGCGTTCTCTACCTTCACAGCATTCTTATCGTATCTGTTAAGAGGCTCCCGAACAAGTGACACCATCTCATGATTACTGACCTGAGAAATGAAATTTAAAAAATTTGGTCAGAATCAGGTTAAATTGATTTAAGGACATCTGAGCCCTGTCTTACAAAGAGTTGATATCGATCGCAAATTAATTGTGATTGATATCAATCGCAACTATGTACATAAGAGATAGGAGACTGCAAACTTGTGATTAATTGGTGGACTTGCGATTGATTTGGGTTAATCGCAACTCTTTGTAAGACGGGGCCCAGGCATAACAAAGTTTCATAAAGCCGGCCTCTGTGCCTCTCCCTAAGATAATAATATGATAGGTCCATTTATATATGAAGACCAAAATAAAAATGAATTACTTGCCATGTCCCTTGGCTCTTTATATTAAATACATATATATTTTTACTTTCTGTTCCCCCTCCCCAACCTGGTGTATACACCCTTGTTATCATTAGACACAGATAACAATATAACATGTGAATTACTCAGAACTTTGTAGAACTCTTTACTAACCGTGCCAGAATAATACTGTAGACCCACAATATTACCAGGAACCATACCCAGGAAGACATCATCAATACCAGCCTGCGACGTTACTATGGGAAGATCCAATCCAAGAAGATCATGATCATCTATTCCATCATCCCATGTTGACTGACTCAAATAATCCATCGTCAGTGAGAGAGCCTCGGTTAGAGAATAACGGTTGCCATGGCTACGCTTCTTCTTCGTCGTCTGTTTCTTATTTGGCGTCTGTTTCTTCTTTTTCTGATAATTTGAGTCCCATGGTTCTGGTGAATACCAGGACTTTGGTTTGTGCCATCTGTGTCTCGGCATGGCTCCTAGAAAGAGAAAGGTACAAAAAAAACCTTGTTAATTGAAAACTGAATTTGACTCTGAAGTTTTAACACAAGAATTAAGATTGGAGAGTGGAAATAAGCATGAACAAATAAAGGTAACATTCAAGCATATCTGACTAAGGCTCAGACACACTGCCAAACCTGACTCTTAACCACTTCAAACTGACCAATTCTTGCCGATGGATGATGGTGCTCTACAAAGAGAACTTAAAACAGATTGACAAGGTGCTGGCATCATTGTGGATATTCAGCATGGACTAGACAAAGGCATACCTGCCAACCTGAGACAAGAGAAATTAGGAGTAAATTTTTCTGATGGACTACGAGGTCGCGAACCACCGAAGGATTGGGGTAGTAGCCCGTAGATTGGGGGGGGGGGGGAACTAACGATCACGTTCGAGCTGCGCTGTGTATATCTTCTATGAGCGCGAGCGCGGATGTTGTGTTATGCTTTAGTCTTATACATACATACATACATATTGGTATTTATTGAGCACCTTTACATGAACATGCTCAAGGCGCTTTACATTTCGAAATACAAACATAATAGTTATATACTCTCCAAGTGCATTACACTCTTAAAAAAAAAAAAAAAAAAAAAAAAAAAAATTAAATTTAAAAAAATTGGAGTTTTGAGGCATGCATTCGGAATTCGGAGTTGGTATGAAAAATGCGGAGGAACTCCGCCTAAATCGGGGTGGACTAGACAAAGGCATACCTGCAAACCTGAGACAAGAGAAATTAGGAGTAAATTTTTCTGGATGGACTACGAGGTCGCGAACCACCGAAGGATGGGGTAGTAGCCCGTAGATTGGGGGGGGGGGGAACTAACGATCACGTTCGAGCTGCGCTGTGTATATCTTCTATGAGCGCGAGCGCGGATGTTGTGTTATGCTTTAGTCTTATACATACATACATATTGGTATTTACTGAGCACCTTTACATGAACATGCTCAAGGCGCTTTACATTTCGAAATACAAACATAATAGTTATATACTCTCCAAGTGCATTACACTCTAAAAAAAAAAAAAAAAAAAAAAAAAAAAATTAAATTAAAAAAAAATCGGAGTTTTGAGGCATGCATTCGGAATTCGGAGTTGGTATGAAAAATGCGGAGGAACTCCGCCTAAATCGGGGTAGACTAGACAAAGGCATACCTGCCAACCTGAGACAAGAGAAATTAGGAGTAAATTTTTCTGGATGGACTACGAGGTCGCGAACCACCGAAGGATTGGGGTAGTAGCCCGTAGATTGGGGGGGGGGAACTAACGATCACGTTCGAGCTGCGCTGTGTATATCTTCTATGAGCGCGAGCGCGGATGTTGTGTTATGCTTTAGTCTTATACATACATACATACATATTGGTATTTATTGAGCACCTTTACATGAACATGCTCAAGGCGCTTTACATTTCGAAATACAAACATAATAGTTATATACTCTCCAAGTGCATTACACTCTAAAAAAAAAAAAAAAAAAAAAAAAAAAAAAATTAAATTAAAAAAAAAATCGGAGTTTTGAGGCATGCATTCGGAATTCGGAGTTGGTATGAAAAATGCGGAGGAACTCCGCCTAAATCGGGGTGGTTGGCAGGTATGCAAAGGGCAAAGGACAGAACAAGATCCAAGACCCCCCAAAAGGAAAAGAAGGAACATAATAATATAGTAGTTCTGCCCGTTTTTAATAATATATCATCACGTCTGAAGCAGGCCTTCCATAACAAGGGCAGCCATTAGTGTAGACCAAAAGCTTCAGTCTCTGATATCGACAGTCGTTCCGCTGAGATTATACGTCTTGCTCTACTGACCACCTCTATAGTCTTAATACATACTGGTTTATGTGTATGAAGAATGCTGACGAATGTCATTTTTATTAAAGAATTACCCATGGTTATTTCTTAAGACATTATTCTTGCCTTCAGAAGCCCCAAACACTTTAAAAGTGAATTTGGAAGAAAGTGATAAAAATATGCATGTTTGCTATTGTTGGAATGCTTATGACATAAGGAATACAAATATATTGATTGACAGAAATTTGCATGTGTTGTTAAATTAATATTAGACTTAGAAAGATCAATAGTGTAAGCAGAGGAACCCGGAAGCATTGATATTCTCTTTCGTGACGTAGTATATATGTGACGTATTTCCGTGGACTGTTCCTAAACCCGGAAGTACAACGTATTATTTCAATGTAAATTAGTACACAAACATGGGTCATTTTTTTAGTAGATTTTGCAATTTTTGTGATATTTAATGAAGTGTTTTATCGAATTTACAATAAAGTAATAAACATTCTTTCAATTATACAAGCATTGGTTACTTCCCAATGTTTGGTTTCCTTGAAATATTGATGTTTGGTACTGTAAAATTGATCGTCTTGCAGATCCTGACACACCGGCTTCGCCTATGTTTTGTTTTGATAATTAGCGTAACTTGAATTTCGCGGCACGGGGAAAACTAGCAATAGCTCAGCTCAGCCATTCGTAGTGTAGTGTTCAGTGTGTTTCGGTGTATTGCAGCATGACATTTTTTGGAGATAATAGTTGTTTTTCTTGGGTTATAAATTAGCTGAAACGTCTGTCAATCGAACAAATTAAGCAAGGCGACCGCAATCAGAATGCAGGTGAGCTAAAATGGTTGTTTACCTCGGCTTGTAATTACTACTCTTCTAGTTGAAATGTCTGCTGATCAAAAAAAAACTCAGCAAAGAGATGGCGCGGTACTTTCTCTTCGCCATGCATGTTGAATCAACGATACAACAGGGAAGAATCGTCGGGGTAGGACGATCGAGAATCCCCCCCCCCCTTTTCCCAATTGAAGACTTCTTCAAATTATAATTTCAATTGGCCAGCCAGATGCTCAGAGAAGTTGAGCAACCTAGTAAGTCAAAATTGTAATTACTCCCTATGCATATTTTGAGATAATGTCGCCCAACCCGCTGTTTGAATGTTTCCCTATGTACCCGCTGAACGGCCGCTGAAGCTCCGATGCCTTTCCTGGAGTAGCTGCAGCAGCAACTCCCGCATCACGATTCGATCAGCGTTTACATTTTCGTTGTATTTAAATTCGCCCAATTCACCATCATCTTCACTTTCTATACCATCATCACTGCTTCTAATTTCTTTTTCATCATACTCCAAGATCATTTCAAGTTCATCTGAGCTTCATACTGATTATATCCCGATATAATGCCTTTACTTTCACTCTGATATGGGCCATTCCATGGTAACTCGCGTTACACCTAATGGGTACATTGACACGATAATGTGCCTATATCTTTAGAACTGCTAGGATCTGCAAGATACTTTTTTCAAACATGGACAGGGTAGATATAGAACAACTGAATGAAACAAAAAAGAAAATTGAAGAACAAACGTTTTTAGATTCTTGGATTATTGAATTTTGGTAACTCGCGTTACAAAAAAAGGACATGGTCAATTCTATGAGACCCTCTTTTGGCAAAGTCTCCTCATACTAGACAATCTTGACAAAATCTTTCCTACGTTGATAGTAGGTTGAGACTTACTAATATAAGATCACAATATTAAAGATAAGAAACAATGGACTAGTAAAATGCAGGAAGCAAATATGTCGGTTACTCACGTTACGGTAACTCGCGTTACATTTTGTCCGGAGGCCATTTTCACCCCTATGTAATAGATTAAATATCCCAGGACCCCTTAGAAAAGGCTTAGAATATGGAAATATATTCATCTTTTTCAATTTAGCGAAATTTTCAGGAAAAAATATTACAAGAATCCTGTGTAATCTGCAATAAATTGTTTTTTTTTCATCTACAGTCCCACATGTACGTTTTTGATGATGGTTTGAGATCTTAGGAAATCAACAAAAATGAAAAATAAATTGTATTGAATTTGAAAGGCCCTAATGTTTTATGAACATCCATGGCATAAGGTTAGTGATAAATCAAAAATTAACATAAGAGGTACATTTCTTTTTTTGATGTCATGTCCTTCTTCTCATGGAATGGCCCATATGTACCCTGCAGTGCTATCTGATCGCGAAAAGAATGCGCGAAGTGACCGTGTTGTGAATAGTCCACGGAATGACGTCACATGCCCAAACCTCCTAATGGTATCGTAGACGAAATTCTCTCAGAAAAACTTGATTCTCGTAACTTCATTCCATTATATCTCCTTTCCCTTATGTTTATTGACAATGTACTTAAAAAACAAAAATGAAGAACTGAAAATAACCTTTCTGACGATACCTAATTCAATATGAATTGAAATCACCTTTAAGAAGCAGGTTTGTGCATCTTAAAGATAAATCTCCATTAGAAGAAAGGACAGGCATTATCTAATTCTAAAAGATAACATACTGATTGTGACAATTCCTATGGGGTTTTAAGCATTTAATCACAGTCAGATGAGCATATTTTGACACCTCATTATTTTGTGACACTGGCAAGTCACTATTCTTTCTTTCTTTTTTTCTCTCTTTCTATTTGTGTTTAATATACTTTTTCAAAAAAAGCGGATGAGAGGAGCTCGAGCCACCCAGGCCCTGACATGTAGGCCTCTAAATAAGCATATTTCGTGTCTGTCTGTAAATTTAGGAATTAACATTTTCCAACAAACGCATACAAAAGTATAATTTACTAAAAAGTGAAGAAAAATCCAGAAAAATGATGTCAACTCAGCCACATTTGAAAAACACTGGTATCTAATTAGAAACTAGAAATTTAATTCTTCATGAGGACGAATTAGGTGGTCTGTCATCATTTTTTTATGACACATTTGAATATTTACTATAAAGAGAAAGGGAGAAGTTATATATATGTAAACAATGATCATGATGATGATGATCATGATCATGATGACATCATGATCAAAAGACCATGATGATAATGATGATCATCATCATGATATTGATGATGATCATCATCATGATATTGATGATGATGATGATGACCATGATGATCATGAGCGTGATCCTGACATTTGATTGAAAAAATGAGGGGACATTTAGATAGCATATAGTCTCAGCTACAACATACTCAAAAATCAACAAAAACCAAGCAGAAATAACGGCGTTATTGCACACAAAAGACAGGAATGTAGAATCCAGATTTGAGAAAAAGTCATCTCCCATAGGGATTACATGAAAAAGAAATGGATCAAGTGATAATAGGGTAATAATAAAGTAAATATGGTTCTTTATTACATTATTTGCAGACCTGCCAACCTCTGGAGTTCAAAAACTGTATTCTTTAGTGTCAAAAGTTGTATTTTACTGACAAAAGTTGTATTCTTGAAAATAAACACGGATTTTTACGCGGATCAATGCCTCTTACAGTTTCTACCTACAGGAAGAATTTTTTTACTGATCATTGGTTGAATATGCATTATTTCGTCACGACTGGTGTGTTGGATGAACCAATAAACATCCCCGAATTGCCGATGTGAGATGCTTGTAGGATACTTTAAAGGACAGAATGGACATTTTACCATTGAAAATGGCGGACGCACACACAAAATATTAATAAAAAAAAAATAAAAAAATAAATAAATAAATAAATAAATTAAAAAAAAAAAATTTTTTTGGTTTTTTTTTGTTGAAAATCGTATTTTATTCAGGAAAATTGTACTGTCGTATTTGCTTCTAAAAATCGTACTAAATAAGACTAAATCGTACTGGTTGGCAGGTCTGTATTTGCCATTCTACGTGTTATAATATTCAAAGGAGTTGGTACAGTGAAAGGTCAAAAAGAAAAAAAAAGTGAAGAAAAAAATTGTTGGAGCCGCCCGGACTCGAACCAGGGATCTCAAGGTCGGAAGTCAAGTGCGTTATCGATATACCAAAAACATAGCGATTACACGTAAACGGAAAATGGAATTCTCAAATCCCACTTTGCAAGTGAAATATGAGCATGATTCCGGCATCTGATAAAAAAATGAAGGGCACACTAATTATCTCAGCTACAACATACTCGAAGCTCAGCGAAAACGAAGCTAAAACGACAGAGATATTGCTCGCGAAAGACGGGAATGAAGAATCCAGTTTTGAGAAAAAGTCATGTCCAAAAGAGAATACATGCAAAATGTGAAAAAATTGACATGCCATCTTTAATCGCAAAAATACGCCGTGATGCCTTTGTCAAAATGAAAAATCGTGGCGGGATTTGTTGTTTAAAAATCTTGCGCGCGCGCTGATGCGCGCTGACGTTCGCATGCGTGCGCATCGTAAAATGACAGACCACCTAATAATAAACCACATTGGAATCCCAGATCCACACCTAGTTGGCGAGAAAATCGCAACTGATCTCCCTAGGGCTAGGGCCCCACCTTTTTTTCTTTCCCTTCCCCTTTCCTTTCTTCTCTCTTTCGGTCCTCTGACCCCCATCTCCTTCTTTTTACCCCCTTTTCTTTCCCATTTTTCCTTCTCTCTTTCTTTGGGGGGGGGGGGGGCGGGGGAAGGGCCCAAGGGCCGCTCTGCTCCCTTTGGATCCGTGCCTGCCTTACCCTAACAGATTTCATGAACAATTTAATCATGCTGGGAGCCTGGGACAACTCAGCCCAGTATTCACAACCCTGACAACAGGTCGAGTTAGCCCAACTCCACAGGACACTTGATTGAACAGACTTACTACACTTAGGTCTAACTAGTTACAGAGTAATTTTAAAAGGATATTTAGACATAGATTCTAGATCTAGATCTCTAGGCCCAATTAATAAAGCTTGTCCACTAAATGTTAGTAGAAGCTACATGTGGTCATAACTTGTTTGGAGGTATCGTTCCACATGGCCACATGCCGTCAAACGACTCGCGATGGGCACTGAAGCCTGAAGCGCCAAGGAAAGGGCTGCCACCCTACTGTCACTGTGCTACTGCTACAGTAGCCCAGAGTCTAGGCGTCGCGCTCCACGACTCTACGAGAGCACTACTCAACTCATTGCTGGAAATTTATGCTAGACATTTGGTATTAGGATACGTAACTTTAGAATACGATATATAAGTACTTTACCAGTAAGGTATTACAAATATTGTAATCTCAGCAAACTCGGTTCAGTTGGTTGGGCAATTTTAGAAATAGATCTCTAGTAGACGTCTAAGTTAGGGTCTAACTTAGAGCTAGTTGACGTGACTCGCGTGTTGTTGTTATTTTCGAAGATCAAATTTTCCCGCTTTTCGGATATCCGTATGATCGAACGTACGATCGAGTCGAGTAGACGTAGAGAAAGTTATTTTGTGCATATAAGTCGTTATATAGGTCGTTATATAGGTAGAACTTATAGGGGCGGCCCTCCGGGGGGGGGGGCGGTGTGGCAGGGGGAGGGCACAAATTCCACACTTTTTCAAGTTCCACAAATTAAGTGCCCCTTTTTACATAGGAAAATTGAAGTGCCCCTCTAACTTTGTAAGAATTAAGTGCCCCTCTTTACATAGGAAAATTCCCATTTTTACTTTGTAAAGTGCCACTGTTACTTTTTCAAAGAGCTTCTTTTCCTTTTCACCAATGATAAGCATGCCCCTTTATTGCGAAACGTGCCCCTTTTCCTTCGACAAGTTCCCATTTTCCTTTGCAAAAAGGGCCATTTTCCATTTCATAAGTGCCTTTATGAAACTGCCCGATTCAGGTACGAGAAGTGAATCTGAGAGTTGCCCCTTTTTACTTTGTAAGAAGTGCCCTCTCTAATAACTACCCCTTTTTTTAACTCAGATAAGCGCACCTTTAATTTTAACATGTGCCTCTTTCCTTATCTAATAATTGCCCCTTTTCCGTTTAATAATTGGCAACCATTTCTTTTAAAAGAGCTCCTTCCCTTTCTCACAAATGCCCCTTTTCACCTATGAAAAATGTCCTTTTTCATTCTAATAAGTGCGCCTTTTCAGGTACGAGAAGTTACTCCTTTTCAATTCAGATAAGACCTCTTCAGGCGACCCCTTCACCTCCTATTCAGTGGTTTTTGCAGGATTTTTTCAAAGGGGGGGGGGTTTAACATTTTGAAATAGGGCCGAAAATTTCGTAGCGACTCAGCCAGCTGCTGATTAAGCGGGGGGGGGGGGGAGTAAGAGGACAATTTTTTAATTTTTTTTAATTTTTTTGTTTTGGTCATCCATTAGCATTAAAAAAAAAAGTTTTAAAAAAAAGTTTAAAAAAAAAACATAAATCAAAAGGAGGGGGATTTCCCCAAAAAAACATACAGAGAAAAAAAATGAAGGGGGTTTACCCCCCCCCCCCCCGCGTACGCTCCTGCCCCCATTCAAATCTCAGAGATGCTCGTTTTACTTTGACAACTGCCTCTTCCCCTCCTGATAATTAAGTTCTCTTTTCATATCTGATGAGTGCCCCTTTTCAGCTTGGTAACTGCCCCTAGCATTTTGACACGTGCCCCTTTTCCTTTCTAATAAATGCTCTTGTTTTCCTTCTGTTAAGTGCCCCTTCCCCTTCTCAAAATTACCCCCCTTTTCATCCCTAATAAGTGGCCCGTTTATCTTAAAGGTAATACAAAGTTTTGGGAAATTTTGAAAATTGGGTGAGTAGTGATTCTTTACAAGTTTGATATATTTGGATGACCCTGTGGATGTTTTATAAGCACTAGAAAATTTAGCTCCTAAAACACTTCTGCTTTCGAGATAAATGGAATATAAAAATTTACCGGTGCTCCCGGTAAATTTTGATAAATTTCAAATAGCGCCTACGGCCGTACAATGGTAGCTGCGACCATGAAAATCTCAGAAAATATAGTTGTGATATATAATTTCCAAATGGAAATAGCTAATTGATCGATTTTAGTCGAGAAACATTGTTTTATAGCTTAATTAATATCTTGACCTTGAGAGGGAGCTATACAACATAAAGAGATTAATATTTAACATTTCATAACTTTGGACAAATGCACATTTTCATTTGTTATAATATAAGTGCCCTTTTTTCATTCTAAGTGCCCCCTTTCATATCTGGTCAGTGCAACTTTTCTTTTCTAATACGGGACCTATCCCCTTTTTACCTCTTATAAATGCCCCAATCAACATCTGATGCGTGCCCCTTTGCGGGCAACACATGCCCATTTTCCATTCTCATAAGTGCCCTTTTTCATCCCTGGTTAGTGCCTCTTTTCAGGTGTAAGAAGTGCCTCATTTTCACCTCTGATATCTACCCTTTGTACTTTGACACGTGCTCCTTTTCTTTACTAATAAGTGTCCTATCCATTTCGATAGGTGTCCCCTTTTCCTCACATCATTAAATGTGCCCCTAATTTAAAGCGACTTAGAGATATTTCAAAGCTTACTCGCTGCACTTAATCGCATTTTATTTTATAGATAACATAATTATGTTACTCATCAATAGTCTTTTCAGTCTTTCGTTATGAGAATGTGCTTATAACCCCATCAAGTTTTTTTTCTTCCCCTCTTCAATAAGATGTAATTTTTCGCACTGCGACCTCACAAATCTTAAAATTTCCTCGCTCGCTCGCAAATGAATATTCAAATAAATTTAAACCCAAACTGCAAAGTATGATGCCTAAGCACTGTCTCATATATGAAGAGAAACATGAATTGAAATATGGCCTGATAATGTAATTATAATGTAGGGGTATCCACGTCTACGTCACAATCCACTGACCAAACTGCCATTTTGATATTCGCATAGACTTAGGGATCTCATAAGTATTTCACACGTTCATAACTGTCTTATGATATTAGTCCGATTTATTTCAAACAACGCTATTATTATGTTTATCATATTTTTATACTAATGAGCTTAATTATTACAAGAGCTGAATTGCCCTTCAATGATAGTTCTGATAATTGCAAATTTAATTTGCATTTAGTTTGATATTTTGTATATAGGGACCTGTAACAATTTTACAGATCCCTGTTAATTCAAAAATGCAGAATGTAAATTCTCATATACATCCGCAGTGTAGGCTACTCCTTCTTCTACACACGACCCCGTTGTTGTGCCGAGTCACTCTCTCATACCTTTAATCCTGATGGGAGGGTCGGGGGTCACCCTCACACCCGACAGGCTCAGTTAGGAGAACTTTTTTTTGTGATATCCGTTCTTTAGAGACAGAGAAAATAATACATGTATCAATATCAACATTTGATGATCAATTCAATACATGAAATGGGGTTTGTAAAATTAAAAATTAAAATAAAAAATAAAATATTCTAGGATATTAAGGATATTCTTTCGGCGGGGGGGGGGGGGGGGGTGTCCAGTGGTGAGTAGGGATGTATTACCCATCTTTTATTTCCGCTATAGCCTGATAGTCCCAGCATGGTCCATTGGTATGGTTCATATATGATTACTTGTTGATGTAAGTATAAGAATTAATTTCAGCTGTGGTATATTTCATGAGTATAAAGATCTAATTATGCCTATATATAGTAGGAAGTTAGGAACCGTTTGAGTTTTGATTTAAAGGAAGGAGGTTTGGTGCATTTATAATTTTATCATTAAGCAGGTATTCCAAATTTCAGGCCGATGAAAATGACAGTATTTTGGGAAAGAATAGTTTTCATTCGGACAGTAAAAAAAAACCAGCTGTGTTCAGATTTTCTCCGATTTTGGGGGGTATATTTTGTTCAGAAACAAGATCGAGCTTGCGCATGTTTTATCTGCTGGGTGCAAGCCAAGAAAAATAACACACAAGACAGTGGCGGATCCAGGGGGGCCGAAACGGCCGCGGCCCCCCTCTATTGGCGGCGCAAAAAAAAAAGAGAAAAAAAAAGAAAGGAGAAGAGAAGAAAAAAAGGAGAAGAGAAAAGAAAGGAGAAGAAAAAGAAAAGAGAAGAGAAAAGAAAGAAGAAAGAAAGAAGATACCCCCCCCCCCTACCTCACTCCCACTCCGGTCGGAGGGACCGATTTTGTGTTCCCAAAATTTCCGATAATTTTCACGCAACAAAGTCCGGCCCGTAATACACACAAATCCGGCCCGCACTGACTTTACACACCGAAGATTAAGGGGTGCTTTCAAACTGCAGCATCAGAACTGAATACACACAGTCGCTGATTCAGGATTTCTTAGGTGGGGGTGGGGGTGGGGTGGGGGGGGGGGGGGGGGTGGGGGCACGTGCCCCCTGTGCCCCCTAGATCCGCCACTGACACAAGTTAAAAATATATACATTTACATTGTAAAAATCACAGAACATTTAGTTGGATATTATTTAAATGTGTCATGTTTATTGTAGGCCTATTCTTAATCATATCTCAATGTTGCACCAGCATAAAGTCACATTAATTCAGTCAAAGGGTATACTATAGTAGTATAGTTAACTCTTGGAATTATCATTTTTTAAACATTTTTAAACTCTAAACTCTAAAAGAGGGAGTTTTTTTCTCTCTCTTTCTTTGGACTCCTAATTTTTTTTTTAAGGGGGTCAAAATAACTCGAGTACTATAGATAGGTACAGGCGCGTACGCAGGGGGTGGGGGATTGGGGGTCGAACCCCCACTAACATTTTTGATGTGTGTGATTTTTAATTTAAAAAAAGAAGAAAAAAACCCTTTTTTTGTGTGCAAAAGGGTGACCCCAAAAAGTGACCTTACCCCCCCCCCCCCAGCCATCGAAATATAGGTCGGCCAAATTTTTTAATTTCCGGGAAAGAAAATGTGCTCGCAGTGGCGACCGGATCCAGGGGGAGGGGGTGCCGGTGGGCCTGTGGTCCCCCCGGAAAAAAATGTGTAAAAACACTTTAATTTTACCTTTTTATGGAGATGGGCCCCCTCCCTGGCGTTCAAGGGGGGGGGGGATGCGATTTTCCAAATTTTCAAGGGCCCCCCCCCAAAAAAAATATAGTATATCCCTATGATCCCCTCCCCCCCCCCCCCCCCCCCCCCCCCCACCCCACTGAGCGAATTCTCGGCCGGTGCGATTTTTAAATTTTCGCCACTAAATATTTTCTCACAAATTGGGCCCCCTCCCCTTCCCTGCCGCCGGCTGGATCCGCCCCTGCCTGGTAGCACGGTATGCTCAATAGCACATCAATTATCGACAGCATATTTTTGGCGCCCGTTGCAGTCAAAATGACTTTGCTTCGAGTGAATGCACTGAAAGTCTCAAATGTGAGTCTGTCCTATAATCTCACATATTATTTCGTCTGTCATCCCTCTTGACTCCCAATACACACAAATAACACAATAATACACTTCAATTATTGTGGAATAGCCTGACAACGACTACTGAGAGCCAGCCGTTTATTCAGTATGAATGTAATTAACAAACATTTCTTCTCGTTTCCTCCACTGGAAACCGGACCTATCATGGTCCAGGATAAAAAACCAGAGATAAAACTCAACGAGCATAAAAACTCTGGAAAACCTTATTCAAACACAGTCATGTAACACTACATGACACAACGCACTTTTATTGTAAATAAAAGTTGTCTCGTTGAAAGTTTAAGGACAAAATATACAGTTTAGTTTAGTTTAGTTCCTCAGGTAGACAAAGGAACATCCTTTCACTGCTATTATGTAAAAATGTGTAGAACAGGCGTCACATGTACATTCACCATTGTACATAATAGCAGTGAAGGGATGTTCCTTTGTCTACCTGAGGAACTGTATATTTTGTCCGCTTTCTTTGTCCGTCATATTTATAGTGCTAGCTGGTCTCCGTAGCAGAATTAGCTCGCACACCTGTACGAGCTGCCTATGCAAATATACATTCCATCGGGGCACAGCCCCCCCCCCCCCCCCGCGCCAACATAAGTATGCATTCATTAAACGATACAAAAACTACATTTGTCTGCTATACAATCGTACCGCAGACAAATAATAGTTCATCCTAACATCGTTTATCACATAATATCACCCATAGCAACCATCACATACAGATGTCACTCTGAAGCTAGAATGACTTCCCTCTACACCGGCCACACCCTTATCTCGCATCCTCTCTTTTCATATTCAAATGAAACACCTTCAACGCAACGGAATTGAATAATTCCGTCACGCATGCCAGAGAACAATTAGTGTTTACCACTTATTGGCCGTATAAACAACATTTGCCAGCTATACGATGTAACGCTGGCAAATACATTTCCTTCGTCTGCTCAAATCACGTGATGTATTTCAATTGAACATGCAAATAGCGCGCTCGCGCGAATCGGTTTTAGGTTTCGAGTAAGATGGGAAGCAAGAAATTAACCATTCTCTGCTAGATTCTGTCCTAGACAAGTCGTTTTGAGATATTTACTTAGCTTTTGCTTCGTTCGCCTAGCTTGCTTTGAACCACTGTTATTTCACTTGTGTAATAATGGTCTTTTACGGCAACAAGTTCACCGGGAACTGTGTGATGAATACCCTGGAGGGTACTCGTTGTAGGAGGAAGGCACCCCTGCCTGTTGATGAACCGGATGAGTGCTGGCAACACCGACAGTATGTATATAGTTATTTTCTAAATTAAAAATGAATTTACCAACTCAGTAGTCAGCTCTCATGGAGAATTCGACACCGTTCGGGTGTTTACCCAACAACAGGTGTTGTCAATCACCCGGGTTAGCCTTGAGTTTTATGACCATTACATAGGCATTAGACCTTATGTAATGCTTTGATTTACCCGTTACCCGAAAACTCTCGAGTATTATCCGAGAAATCAGAAGGGGGGGGGGGGGGGATGACTGGCCAATGGGTTTGCTGTGTGCAGATGTACCCCCATTAATGGTATTTCCACCAAGTCTGGTGTCAGCGAATTATGGCCTTCTGCGCATGGAAACTGCTGATACAATCCCTTTAATACACGCAGGATATTGACCCTTCAGTGAGTTGAAAGTTATTTGTTTTGGGTCATTCATTGTAATTACCCTATCGAATGTCTTACCAAAATTGCAACATCTGCACTTTTGCTTATATATTCGCATTCTATTATTTGCAACCTAGTAGTAGTAATAGACTATAGACCTATGTCCTGTTTTATGTTTCCTTTATTACAGACAGCCAGCCGAGGTCCAGTGCTCTGCACATATTGGGCTTCATGGGAATGGCAGACGTTGCAGCCGGCGTGGACGTCACTCGCTAGACGAAAACGCTGTTGAACTCTACTGCACGCAACACGGTATGCATTTATTCAAAGTAAATCTCTCACATGTAACTTAGATCTACATTTTAAAAAGGCGTCTTGTGGACCATAGACTATAGATCTACATGTATTTGCCCAGACCATTAGCGGATCCAGAATTTTCCAGGAATCGAGGGCCGCATATTGCCATTGGTAAAAATATTAAAAATGGAAGAGTAAATATTGATTCATGTACATATGTATATTGATTCAAAATATTTTGAAACTAATTACACTGCCCCCCTCCGCCTCCCCCTCCCCCTCCCCCTCCCCCTCCACTCAGTGTTATTTAGGGTAGGCAGCATATATGCATGTTCCCTCCCTTTGAAAGCACCCCCTATCTCCGGTGTGTAAAGTCAATACTGGCCAGATTTTTGTGTATGTACGGGCCTTACTTTGTTGCGTGAAAAGTAGCCTACCCCTTTACCCTGTAATATGGGATCATTGAATGTGTACGTTGGTGCATTGACAGGGGGTATATTCAAGAATAAATGGAGAATCGTGTATTTGAATGTGATCTGTGAAATGCCATGCATGTACTAGTAGCATGTCCTCATTTATGTTTTCGTTTGGTTTATACAGTCAACAAGTTGCATCGCGAGAACGGTCGTGCGGAGGTCGTTCCTGCTCATCGCCAACAGCAGGATGAACAGCGTAGGAGGGCGGAGGAGCGTGAGCAACTCCACCCGAGACGAAGGTCACCGCGTCTGGTAGAGCGAGAGATCGCAGCTGCCGCCGCTGTTCAGCTCGCCGCGGAGAGAGAGCAACGTCGTGCCGCCAATCGGGCAAACCAGAACCTGCGGAGGTCGGCCCGGATTGCCGCGAGGCGAGGCAATGTGTGATTGTAGCCTGGGTAAGTAAATTTTTTTATATGCTTTCCTAATTTTAAGTATTCTAACAATTCCTACCCCCACAACAAAAAATAACTAAACAGATGAGCATGCAATGTATTCAATGTACCAAACACAATTTTTTTAATTGAAGACTTGACAATGAGCCAAAACTTTACAACATAGCAGCAACTTTTAATGATCAGTTGGATCAAAATGAACTGAGATGCATCCAAGGTTTCTAAATAGTATGATTGTTATTTGTCACAATGATATAGGGGTTTTTCAAAATTCATTTATCTCAAAACATAATCTGTTTTATTTATTTAAAAAAAAGTTTGAAACAGAAACATCTTGCTCATAATGAAATTAAAGGGGAAGCCCACCATAATATTAAGTGTATTTTTTTAGAATCAGAACATGAAAGAAACAGTTCAGTGAAAGTTTGGGCATAAACCGATTAAAAATAAGAAAGTTATGAATTTTTAAAGGTGCAATCAATTAATGTTTCAATCAAATATTTACCCTAAGTATTATCATTTCAAGTATAGTGTTAAGCAACCCCTGTATGAAACGTATCTATTCCGTCATCAATATCTAGGAAAATGAAAATTCATGAAATTGTCTGTAGCCTACAGAGCAAATTGGAGATGAGCTTGCATGATGTCACATTTTTTTCACTGATGACAGCTTTAAAATTCATAACTTTCATATTCTTATTGTTATGCTTTTATTACAGTCAACTTAATTTAAGGGTGGACTTCCCCCTTAGTATAAATGATTTTTAAACTCACTTCATTCTCCTTTCCTACAGACTGATTCGCAGAAGCAGCAGGGGGGAGACCGAGGGGGGATACTGGGTCGAACACTGCTGAGGTTCTCGGGACGTAAACGCCTTGCTATAGGAGTAGTAGGGAGGAAGCCGAGACGGGTAGTGCATGGTCACTCAAAACCAGACCCGCTGTACTATCGTAGTCAAGAAAGACTGGGTGTGGTCAGTCGAGGTAGACGCCGGAGGCCATTCCCTTTCTTTGACCGCCTGTAAATTATTCCAAGAAGGTATGTCTACTGTTCATTATTTTGGCTTCATATGTTTAAAATAGTATTAATTCTTTATAGCATTATAGCATTACCTGGCAAAACATGGGGAGTCTTCATCTTTGCTTTTGTTTGCACATGTCCTCATCATTTTGGAGTGTATACCATTTATATGTATCCTCTATGTGGAAAATGTTTATATAAAGTAAAATGTAGGGCCGTAAGGTGAAAAACGTCTTTATATTTTGTCTACATACTCAGAAATAAATCTATTTTGAAATTAATGTATAAACTTGGTATAATCTTTACCTAACAAAATTGTTTAATTTGTGTTTATTTTTACGATATTATCTGCCCATCGTATTTCCTTTGAGATGCCTAATACAACATTTGTTTAACCTCTTTATTCCACAGATCAGGCCTCACCGTGGGACGCGCACACACGTCGTAAGTATGCAGGTATTTCAATGTCTACCTTGTGATAATATATTCCTACTCACCAGATCAGTTTACCCAATACCTCCTAATAGAAGTCATGTATACTTCTGAGGTTTGACATGTAGGTTATTACATTGAGAATTTGTGAATATTTGGCTGAAAATCTTTTTTAATATACGTTATATTGTTATAAGGGTTCAGAAGTTGTCTTTTTTTGTAAGTTTAGTTATTGGTTTTGCAATCATCCATCTCATAAAAGTAGTTGTACTGATATTTCAATGTGTATTATTTATTGTTATAAAATTTAGTGTTGAGTTTATAAAGGTTAAGCTTAAATTATTAATATGACCTACTCAGTGATTAATGAGCAATGTGTAATTTAAAATGTGTTCAATTGACCTATGCTTTATGTACTGTATATAGTTGTTAGCCATGTGAAGTAAAAAATTCCACGTAATGTGGACAATAAAACAAATCAACCAATCAAATCAATGTATCTTGTTGTAAGAGCTAGACTTGGCAGGAGCTGTCCAATTACCCAGTTTGTAATTAGTACCAAATAACCACTAAATATATATCTGAACATGGAGAGGCCTAGCTAATAGGGATTGTAGAACTTGAGGAGTCACATGAATGCCATTTATCTCCAGTTAGAGATGCAAAACTTTACCTGTGTATCATGAAATACCATACTGGTGCATAAAATAAAATGAATGTTTGAATGTATCCAATATTTTTCTCAATTTGCACATTTTTTAAAACCAAATTTTCAAACTGCAATTACAAACTGGCCTATTATAGGATGTGTACTGATAATGTACTTGTAGACAGAATGTTCTTTCATGTGGAATGCACGAAAGAAAAAAAGATGCCAACAATTAATGATGAACTTACAAAAATGGTTGCAAACTAATGATAAAATACAATTAAAAAATATGAAATTTAAAATTTAAAAAGAGACGTTAAATGAAAAACAAAATAAGATGGACAAAATAATTAAATTGAATAGAACACATTCTTTTTTATAAAAAAAAGGTTTAAAATTAAGTTTAAAAAGGATGTGTGTTCCCTTCAAAGTCAAGACGAGTTACACGGGAAAACACTAAAAACCACTATAATCCTTTAGCATTAGTGATCATAAAATTCTTGGTAAAGTTTTCCAGTCCCTTAAAAGAAACAACTGAAATCTCATCTTCTCCCATTTGCAATTACTTTTATTTAATCCTATTTTCTTATACATTATATACATGTTATGCATATGTAGGTTCTACTCATATACCGGTAAAGCAAATCCCCTTCTGTTTCTCTATTTGTAGTGGATTATTCTCAATCCTATCTTTTAAAGGGGTGCATTTTCCTGACATGTTACCAATTCGAAGAAGAAACACAAAATCACATATGAAGAAATAAATCACCTTTATGTGGCTGGGGTAAAAAACAAAATTAAATTTAGTTTATTATTCATATTTACCAGAGGACATATTAAGCATTATATCAGACAAAAAATACATCGTGTTCACTATTTTCAGGTATACAGCACCTGTAAATCCCATGTGTGTTCTCTAATAGGATTTGTTAGACTCTCTGTGAAATGAATAGTTTTTTTCCTTCTCTTATCTTTCCAGTTTATATCTTAATCATATATAATTGCTTTTATTGTGGGATGTTTTGATTTTTCTTATGGTAGGATAGGACTCCTTTAAAATATAATAAAGATGTAATATAGCTTTTTCTACTTTTCTTCTCAAGTCTCCACTAATATAAATTAATGTTTTAATACAGTAGGCTCTACTTCAAATGTGTAATACCTAATCATTCTCAGTATTGTTTAGCAGCTGTTTATCTTGTCCAATGCTCTCTCTGGTTTACCCTTCTCTCCATTGCAGCAGGGATGTTTCTCGATATTGTAGAATTCTCTTGATAGCTCTTTACATCTTCTAAGAGTATTGAATCTTTCTTTCAATAGGAGAATAATATCGTATGTCATTCACAATTCAAGGCTTTCGGTAACACTATGTGGTTTGTACACCAAGAATTAGGTCATATGGAAGTAAAAAAGGAAAGGAAAGAAAGGGTGGTCAAGATTGAGAAGGTTGTGAGGAGATCGCAAAGGGTGTAGTTTTGAAAAGAAAATTGTATCTTTCCTCTTTCTATATCATTTTTATCTTTCTATTTGTTTGTATTTTTGTTAATGTCTTCGTCTTTCTTTTTCTTTTTCTGTATCTGTATCTATCTCCCCTTTTCTCTTTTTTACTTTCTCTTACATGTATATTTTAGTCTTATATTATCCCCTCGCTGACGAAGTCGGAGGGGATCTAGTAACGCTGCCGTCCGTCCGTTCGTAACAAATCTGATTTCCGTTCGATAACTTTAGTAATGTTTGGCGGATTTTAATAAAATCTGTTATGAAGGTACATGGTATCAAAATACAGCCTAAGTTCGATTTCAAAGTATGTAGATCAAAGGTCAAAGGTCATAGCTTATTAAATATGCAAAATACCCAAATCTGGTTTCCGCTCTATAACTTTAGTAATTATGTTTGACGGATTTCAATGAAATTTCATATGAAAGTAAACGGTATCAAAATACAGCAGCCCAATTTCGATTGCGGAGTATGTAGGTCAAAGGTCAGAGCTCATTTAATATGTGGGGAAAAAGCTAATTAGAAAATTTGGTTTCTGTTCAATAATCTTAGTAATTTTTCGACGGATTTGAATGAAACTTGATATGAAGGTACAAGGTATCAAAATACAGCATAATTTCAACTTTGGAGTATGTAGGTCATAGGTCATAGCTCTTTAAATATGCAAAATACCTTTTTATATATGCGAAAATGTGGTTTTCATTCAATAATGTAAGTAATGTTGTTGAGTATGTACGTCAAAGGTCAAAGGTGACAGCTCATAAATATTAAAAACTTGCTAAATATAGGCCATTTTTACCCGGCGAAGGGACGCTACGCTTTGCATGGACTTGCTTTTTTTTCTGTCTCTCACTTCTATGTCCTTTTAGAACATTATCATTAATACTCTTTCTTCTTCTCATACTTTATCATCTTCTCTTCATTATCTTTCCCATCCATTGTACCCATCCATAATACCCATATTTACCACAATAAATCAATGTATCTACCTATCATTTGCTAGTTTATCCAAACTACGCCACAACTCTAAAAACATCACAATCACGTATGCCCCACCCCCATAATTCGCCTTCCCAGGGTTCATGTGCGCAACGCACACCCGCCATTCATCCTCTTTCTATTCTCGCCTACCGGCAGAGACATCGTTACAGCTGAGTCACATTTAAATTCAAGGATTTTGTCCTTTTTTCGATAGGCTTAGCTCTTTTTACGCATTGAATTCCGTCCTCTTTTTTATTGCTATTAATATGGTGGTACAGGTTCCCAAGTCACATATTTATTTTTGCAGAAATTTGGGTATCATTTCTGCTCCGCATATTTCCACTTTCACGACCATAAATTACAGGCTTTGGTACGCCGCTGGGTTAGGGCGTTTGGTCCTGGCGTTACGGCCTTTGCTGTTTGGGATTTCTTACGTGTGGTAAGGCGGTTAATTTATTCACTGACCTAACGTCCCACCTTAGCTTGTTACGCTTCACGGATCACCGCTTCTGCGGCGGGACCTTTTGTCTGTTCGTGATAGTTTGGTTTTATGTTTTGTGACCATGTTGAGCCTATTTAGCTGAACCTTCCAGATTTAGCAAGGCCCTTGAGCAAGCTTCGTCACCCGACGCTTCAGCAAGGGGAACGAAGTTTGTAGTTTGTATTTTATGAGGTTTACTGTAGCCTTCTGATGTCCAGTCTCCGACTGTGACTTAGACGGAGAAGGCTGTGCTGATTTTTAGACCTCAGCCTGCGTTCTCTCCAACCGTTCAGACTGGGCTTCTCGTTGTAACAAAGCATCTTGGTGGGTGACAGGGTTTACCCTGGTCCCATCTGTCTGTTCTGAAGCCCAGTTACGCTTGTCTGTTGTAAGCTGGTACCTGTTTTAGGTTGGGATCCGTCTTAATAATAATAATAATATTCAATTTTTATATAGCGTTTAATACAAATGTCTCTAAGTGCTTTACAAATATACTATTACCCTAGTCATTGGATTCAGTGCTTCCATTTTTTGGGGGAATTATCTCTTGGACACAATTCCCCAGCTAACCTTGAGGGTAATCAGAGTCCGTTGCTGATGTTGGGGCAACAGGCTCCCCGGCGGGTTTCCCGTCTGGCTTGTTTCAGGTCGGTGGGTTCGGTTTTCTGTCCCTGTTGCTGCGGACATCTGTTCCCTCTCTCGGCCGGACGTGTTGTTCCAGCCTCTGGCGGGGATTCTCCGTCGTCGTCCCGTGGTGCTTGCTCTCTCTGACTGCCAGGACGGTGTCGGGAGGACGTTGACTTCTGGACTCTCTGAAGAAAGAGGGTCTCATAGTTTATAGTCCAGAGTCGTAGGGATCCCACAAGGACCCTTTACAACTCTCCTTTGGAGCCCTTCTCCATTTGGTGTTAAGGCCTTGGGGTCTCACCCGTAGACTTCGGCAGGTGTGATAGTGGTTTTTTGACTTACTTGTTTGACAAGGGTAGAGCCCTTTCCACTATTCGTGGTTACCGTTCGCCTTTCGCTGCCACTCATGTCGGGTTTTCCAAAAATCAGTCGGCGTCCTCCGGACCGGTGGAGGTTTTCCTCAGTCCCCTTTCGGAATTCTCGTGGGTTGCGGAGGACAAGGTCTGGTGCCCCTTCATGGCACTCAAGTGGTACTTAGATAGAACTAAGGTTCACTGAAAGGATGACCAGTTGTTCCTCATTTTGTGGGAGCTCTTTTCTCCTGCGTCCCGAGAATCCATCTTCAAATGGACAGTGGACGCTATTCAGGCAGCGGGTCCTGAGGCTGGGTCCGAAGGCGATGTATGGGGTGTGGGGCATGCGCGAACGTGACATTATTAAAAAGTTCTTGATGGTGGCGTGCAAATAATAGGTAGATACATAGATTCATATAGTAAATAATAAAATCAGTTCTGATTTTTCTGCTTTCTCTTACCCCACCCTCATCCATCATCTTCTTACTCATCCATCTCCATCGTCCACTTACCCATTCCACTACCCCATCCTCTTACCTATTCCTCTTCCTCGTCCTCTTACCTATCCTTCTTCCTCAGTCCTTTTAATATCCATCCCTCTTCGTCATCCTCTTACCCATTGCTCATTCTCATCATATTACACATCCCTCATCCTCATATCCATTCCTCATCCCCATCCCCATCCTCTTATCCATTCCTCATTTTCATCATATTACCCATCCATCTTCCACATCCATCTTCCACAGCCCCTTTAATATCCATCCTCTTCCTTATCCTCTTACCCATCCCTCTTCCTCATCCTTCTCCTCATCCTTCTCCTTATCCTTCTCCTTATCCTTCTCCTTATCCCTCATCCTAATCATCGTACCTGTTCATCTTGCTCATCATCTTATGTATCCCTATTCCTCATCCTCCTACTCATCCTCATCCTCTTACCAATCACATTTCATATCCCCTCCCTCCTTCTCTCTCTATTTCTCTCTTTCTCTTTCTTTCTCTCTTTCTCTTTTGATCTCTTGCTATCTTGCTCTTTCTCTCTTTCTCTCGTTCTTTTAATATCTTATATCAGACTTGTCATGTTTATTTTTAGTGATCAACTTTTCCATTCGCTAGTAATGAATTACATTTAGGTGTGCTTCCTTGCCTTGATTATGTCATATCTCTTTTCTTTGTTATAACTTGTAGAATCTACTTTCTAAACATTTTATTCATGGCATGATTTTTTTAATCTCTTTGGTAACTGTTTGTTTTGCAAATTTTCATATACCGGTATACATCTGAATATTGGGATTAATAAGGATATTTTACCTTATTTTCCCTGATATTGCCAGTTACTGAATCTAGATGTTACTGTTTCTCTACAATACTGCTGAATGGCTTGTTCAAATACTGCACGTCAGATACAAAGCAATATTTTTTGTCTTTCTCATCTTGAAAAAAAGTGTACTCATCATATTTATATCAAGTCTGTATATATAAAAGTACTGTTTATCAGATTAATTTGTTATTGTATAAGAGTCATATTTTATTTTAGCTTCCCTTGTTCTCTCTCTCTCTTTGTTGCTTTTTGCGATTATTACCGGCTGTATATCAGCTCTAAATCAAGACCCATCATCTGTTTCCCTTTCTCTCCCTTTCTTCCTATCTCTCACCATGTCTCACACTTTCTTGCTCACTATTTATGATTATGACTTATCAAATCTAGATTTGCTTTTTTGAATAGGATAAATACCATTCATAGCAAGAATCTTTTTTGCCTCCCACTCTATCTCTCTATCTCTCTATCTCCTGAGCGCCTTCTCCCATGGGGTACTATGTCACATTAATTATGGATAGCATATAATTATAGGTCCTCTGAATTGGTCTGGCCAATTTTGAGTACTTCTTGTCTCACAATTGCTACTGTAATGCCGTAGACACTACAGCCAGCGACGTGCAGGGTGATGGATAGTTGTAGATGCCTTGAGAGTTATGGGAGATCAAGTTGGATTATACATGGCTAGCTGTAACTAGTAAGTAGGTTATAACCTGTCTTACTAGAGCACCTGTGAGTGATGTTCTAGCTGGTCTTGTACCTTAAATTGCTGGAGAACGGTGCAGCAAGATCAGGCATTTTTTTTTCCTGGTAGGGCTAGTTCGTAGTTTAAGGTGCTTGCTATGTGTCATCATGCCATTCTCTTCATGCTCGTGACAGCTCAACTGAACCATCACCCAATTAACATAGGGTGTGTAGCCATCCTATAGATCTATAACATATAGAACTTACGGGCGGATGAGCTCACATGGAGCCAACGGCCAGCTACCATGGAAGAGTTTGTTACCTCACCATGTACATGTATATTACCATTGTCTGCAACATCATGAATAAGTACAAACAGAGAGAAAAGCGAGATGCAAGCCTGACAATTAGTCCTGCTGCAAATAGCCTTAGGGAAGAGTTGCTGCCTTTTGCAAATAAGGTACATTATAATGACCAACCTAGTTCAAAGCCTTCGGAAAGATTAGGTTGTGATGCTCTGTCCCTGAAAACAAGACATGGAATGTTAGGACGTTGTATAAGGCAGGGAAATTAGATAACCTCATTCAGGCGGCTAATAGGATGAAACTAGATATTATAGGTATTGCAGAAACTAGGTGGACTAATAATGGATGCATGAAGAGAGATGATTATACCTTCATATACTCTGGAGGAAAAAAACACCAACATGGTGTTGGAATGTTAATCAAGAAAAATCTTGAAACACATTCTAGGTTTAATACTGGACATTAAATGAGAGAATGACGTTAATGAAGCTGAAAGCTAAACCGTTTAACCAAGCATTAATTCAAGTGTATGCCCCAACCAGTGATTACAGTGATGAACAAGTAGAAAAATATTACGATCAAATAGATGAAATGCTAAAGCACTGTAAATCAACAGAAGTTGTTATCGTGATAGGTGATTGGAATGATAAAGACGGGGAAGGTAAGGATGGAAAGATTGTTGGACAATATGGACTAGGCCATCGTAATGAACAGGGTGATCGACTTGTTCAGTTCTGTAAGGAACATGATCTAGTGATAACCAACACCTTTTACCAACAACATAAAAGAAGAACCTACATCTGGAAAAGCCTAGGAGATGCAAATAGAAATCAGATCGACTACATTTTAATAACGAACAGGTTCAAGAATTTAATCAAGCAGGTTAAAACATGCCCAGGGGCTGACATAGATTCTGATCACAACCCGGTGATTGCAGAAGTTGAAATAAAGCTAAGAATACACTCCCCAGAACAAAAAGAAACCCTCTTCTGGATGTTAAAGCTCTAAATAAAACGGTCATATCAGAAAAATACCTTATGGAAGTTAGAAATAGGTATAATTGCCTAGTCACAGAAGAAATAGAATAAACAAATAATGAAGTAAATGACATTGAGAAACTAGAAGTGGAATGGAAATGCTTGAAAAAGATCCCCTGGGTCATACATTTTGAAAAATTGACATTTTAGTACTGTTGTGTGTTATAATAAGCTGAATAGTTGTCCGCCACTACATCACAGCAACATTACCGATCAGGCAATTTGAACTTGATTACAGCTTTCAAAAATTCATAACCTTATTGTTTGTTCGATTTCGTTCAAACTTTCACCAATCTGCTCCCTTAATTTAAGAGTAATTTTCCTTAGTTAGAAAAATCGTAATTTGCTTGTGTGGAAAATATTTATGACATTAGCAGTCATGGATTGCATAACTATGCAACCAGTGTAACCTTACTATGCATCAACTTCTTTGTCTCGTTCAATAATTCTCTTGGCAGTCAGAAGATGTTTGCATTGGATATTATTTCACCATTGTAAAATTATGCACTAGATATTCAACTATGATTGCAGTCATCACTCTTGGCATCAAAAGTGTTTTTAAAGTGAATGTTGTGTATATATCCACATTTCTTCTTTCCTACATCCATTGAGCTGATTGATATCATATTGGATGAGGCACGTTTTTAGTTCAAGAACTGAACTTTTTTTGGTATTTTTTGATACTCATGGTATTAGGTGTAGGTAATTACTGGCTGGGAGATGGTGACATGTGAATGATGAGCCTACATGGCACTGTCCCTTAAATTGTAGGTGAACAGACGAAGCAGTCATCAAAATAAAAAAGGCACAATTGTGCTTACCCCACCCCAAGGCCCTGCTATACCACCTGTCACATGCGCACTACGACCGCATGCAAACTTCCTCTCTTAAAGCAGTCCAAGATACAACCAGGGACATGTTGCCAACAAGGAGAGGGGACAGAGGGAGGGACATAGGTAGATACATGTACATAGATTAGTATAGTAAATAATAAATCAGTTCTGATGTAACTAATTTACCACAATAAATCATATGTATCTACCTATTATTGCTTAGACCAACACAGATGAAAGCAGGGGGCATGTTCCAAACAAAAGTTAGCGGGGGACCAGGCCGTAGCAACACACTCCTCACTCGCAGGAATGTCCTAAAGATAACACGAAACAAAGGTGTTAGGTGAAAGCCAGAAGGCAGCCTTCATAATGACATGAAGCGCTACCCCATGGAAAAGAGCCCAGGAGGTACCAACACCCCTGGTATCATGTTTAAGATACAGGTGAATGATATTTAGGAATAACCGAAACCCCAGAGGGGAAAGGAGAAACTGATCCACCTACCGACTCCTCTCACAGAGGAGTAGCAAGGGAAGTGGACGGTGGGAGTCTAGCCACCAACAACGGGCAAAGACCCTAAAAAGGCCAACAACAGCACAGAGCTTCTCAGAAGCCGAGCTTAGCAAGACGGGTCCCAAAACAAAAAGGGAACCTGAACACCAGAAAGTGCAACTGAGTCCAGTCAAGACACCCCTAGGGCAGGGGCACAGCTACCATCATCCCCCTGGGTGCCTGATGGACTTCACAGTCAAAGTCACAATCGGAGACTCGACATCCAAAAGCAAACGCTTCCTACCTTACGCCGAAACGTCTGGTGCGAAGCCTGCTCAAAGGCCTTACTAAAGCTGGTAGGTTTAGCTACAGGCCCAGCGTGGTCATTACAACCACGCTACATCGCACCTTAGGCTGAAAAGCTTGATGCTAGAAGCCACCGTGTGACCGGGGGCTCTCTGTCACTGGGGGAAACTCAACTAAGAACCCGAGGCATATCTGAAGAAAACCGCGAGACAGAGTCCCACTCAAGCCGACGGACTGGGGGCACGCACCCCCAAAGATGGGGTAAGGTGCCGATAGTAGCTGCCCCTGGAGGAGCACTAATAATAATAATAATAATAATAATAATAATAGTAATAATAGTAATAATAATAATAATAATAATAATAATGATAATAATAATGATAATAATAAATAATAATAATAATATTAATAGCCTAATAGTCTGAGCAGGAGCTGGAGGCTTAACCCCAAACAAGGGCCGACGGCACATGGTGGGCAAGCCAACAGCAGCACCAGGCAATCTGGGCCTGAAAGGTCTAACAGATGCCAGAGAAGCAACACCCGAGAATCAAAAATTGAACCCGAACCTGATCAGGTGTGACCGGGACCGGCTGAAATGCCGGCTGAAGCACGGGCAAGGATAGGAGCAAACCTCCGCCTGAAATCATGGCGCCCGTCTACTGACAACTTCAGTAGCCCAAACTTTTAACTCCAATAAACATGGTGACAACTTTGACGCCAACGAACTCAGAGAATACATCTGAAACCGAGTACGGTGTGAACGGGTCTGGTTCAAAGCCAGCCGGGGCACAGGCAGAGATAGGCGCCAAGCCACCGTCCAAAAGGGGTAATAAATTTGATGCCAAACTTTGGCGTCTACCGATACCACTGGTAACCCCAGTTGACCGAGCGAAAAAATTATCAAACCCCAAAACATAGCCGCCTGAGCGGATACAGAAACTGCTGACAGAAACGTTTGACGCCAAACCCTCGCCGTCAGATTACCACTTCGCCTCCTCAGCCTCATGGCTGGTGGGACCAGGGCAGTACCGCCTCACCACTTCACAGAAAGACTTAGCGAGCGCGGAGCCTTGGTGCTCCACGGCATTGAATGGAACCACATCACTTGAGAAACCAAGGTCACTCCCGAACGTCTTTGTGAAACCCGGGTCATCCTCGCGCCTGATGTCACGTTTTATCTCCAGACCCAGCCGAGGCTCGGTGGACGAGCTCTTTTGCTTCTTACCCCTAAATACAGGAGACAAAGCTTGTTTTGTCTCATCGACAGGTTAACGATGAGCAAGAATTCTGGATCTGGATTCGATTTCCTCCCCCCAGTTACGGCTGTCGTTACCGCCTCACTAGCAAGTGAGTTTAGGTCGGCAGGGGGGGTTGGTAAGGGCATCTAAAGTACAGGCTCGAGACAGGTTGCTCCCCACACCACGTATTTTTGGGCTGGTGTGACTGGAGCTTTGCCCTGTAGTAAGTTGCCAGCGGTACTGCGTCCGGGCCAGCCTGCAGGCTGCGCCCTGGCGCCAGTACGCTGTGATCTAGAGATCCAATTACACCGAATATAGAAACTTCTAATAAGAGGCTTTCCCCCACGGCACGGGGGTTAGTCAGTCTTTTAGAGGCCCTGGGCTTCATGGCCCCTCGCTCTGTTGCGATACAGCAGTCATGCAAAGCACAAGCCATGCACTCAAGCACGAAGGTTGACCTGGTTTACGCACCCGATTCATTTCGGCAGTATTCCTGCTTCCACATTTGAGGTGCCTGAAATCACATAAGTGGAACGCAAAGGTCACAAGCTCGCTGAGTGAGGCTTCTCACGAAGCAATGAAACGAGCAGGCCCCAGTCACACGGCCAGAAGGCTAAGCTTAGGCTCTAGTGAGGCCGTGTAGCTCGTTGTCTTTACGGATGAGAAGCGGAAGAGCTTGAGGCCCTGTTCACACCGCCCGTAAAGCTAAAGTTTAAGCTCTAGTACGGCCGTGAAGCTCGCTACGTCCCCCGTATCTAGGGGTAAGAAGCGGAAAAGCTCATCCACCCAAGCCACCCAAGCTTTGTTTTGGGGTTTGATAGTTTTTTCACTCGGTCAACTGGGGTTATCAGTTGTATTGGCAGACGCCAAAGTTTGGCGTCAAATTCATCACATCGTTTGGGCGGTGGCTTGGCGCCTATCTCTGCCTGTACCCCGGCTGGCTTTGAACCGGACCCGTTCACACCGTACTCGGTTTCAGATGTATTCTCTGAGTTCGTTGGCGTCAAAGTTGTCACCATGTTTATTGGAGTTAATGTTTGGGCTACTGAAGTTGTCAGTAGAAGGGCACCACGGTTTCAGACGGAGGTTTGCTCCTATCC